TCATAACAATCCAAACAACTGCAAGTCTTTCACTGGCACTCTTTTGTTTGACTCTTTTACTCACACTGAGGCTTAGATGTTTGTTCTGATCTCTAACACTGAGAATTAAACTTTACATGTGTACTTTGGCAGCACTAGAGCGACTGCTTCATTAGGACTCAGATGAATCTGTGAATGGTTCAGTTCACTTAGATGAATGCCATGTCATGCTGCTGTGCTTCTTTTTGGAAAAACTTGATTGTCACTGGAAAAGCTTCTAAACTATTGAGAAAACAGCTGCTGTCATGCTAGTGAAAGGTTTAAGTTAATGGTGTAGCAGCTTTTGGTTAGTTCCTAGCCATCTCTTGTGTTGTGTAGTCGAGGTTCAGATGAGAAAAATGTCTCCGCTGTCATGTGTGATGAAGTTCTTCTGTGTTTTGTAGTTGTTCAGGTCTTCAGATGTATTGGTTTCCATATAAGGAGAAGCTGAGTGTGAATATGTGCAGAAGGTCAGATGTGATGTTGGTGTGTGACACCAGTGTGGTGTGTTTTATGGCCTGTCAAGTTGCCGTGACTACAGACCTTCACTTTGACTCTATGCATTATTAAGCTAAACATGATCAATCAGGCTGTGCGTGTGTGTGTGTGTGTGTGTGTGTGTGTGTGTGTGTGTAAACACTTAGTGGATGTATTTTAACCAAAACTCTCCTGTCATGAATGCGCCTCATGTTCGCTTGATTCTACATAGGGATAGAATCATAGGGAACAAGCTTGTGTTCATCACACCCCTGATTCCTGCTTCTCAGTTTCATAGTCTAATCCTCCTCGTAGCATTTCTCTCTTCTTACGGCTTTAACCACAGTGATCGTGTAGAATCACTGCCATCTGTATCACTGTGAGGACAGAAACCCTCCATCACTCATCACATCCACCAACATACATGCAGACCACACATATACTCATCCAAATACATTATTTCAGTGAGGGGAAAACACTAATGAGCACTAGATTTTTAAATCAGTCCACAGGTAATGCAACGAATAAATACAAACCAAC